TGAAACTACAACAAATCAGATTCAAAGTATACTACACAATGCAAGAGAGAATTGAGTGGTGTCTAAGGTGAGAGTTAAGCGGCGGACCGTGTGATAAAGTTTGTGAAACATCTCAGCTGAGATCCCCTCCGCAGCAAGTGTCCTGGTCCGAAAGCATTAACTTCGATTCCCAACAAGGTAGGGCAAGGTGACTGACATCAACAAATTTGGGCCTAAGGGACCCTTCTTGTTTGAGCGCTGTCCCATTGGGTCCAAAAAGGCCCCAGTTGAGTCAAGACAAGGTCCCAACTAAGAAGAGTTCCACAAAGATCTACTTTTTGTCCCTACCATAATAAAAAACGAATTTCAACTTCAGAAATACCTACAGACTACAACCGTTCAGAATGAAATAACTAAAGTACTAAAGAAAGATATTATGACATTGCGCATAAGATACTCCATCCATTCACTCATCAGGTGAGAAAGCAGTTCACACACTTCAACACAACATCAAGACCATAGAGGATGGGAGAAAAACCCAGAATACCCCGACAAGCAGTCAATTCCATGCACACACACATGGGCACCCTTGTGGCATGGCACTTACCTGAGTGGCCAGACTCTTGGGATGAAATGAAACTCACCCCCCTTCTCACATAGTCCTCCTAACCCAATTAGCATCCTCTACACTATTGTTCTATCATCTCAGAGGGTCAACATCAACCCCAAAGTACAACGTCGGATCCCCCGTCGATGTTGAAGATCGAAGTAGCAACTTGCAGTCTGTTGGTGCAGATATGGCTGCCACCCTCAAGCTCGCCTAACTTGAGGGAAACCCTAAGCCCCATAAAAACCCCGTTTCGTTTTCTTGATTTTCGGTATCGCGTTCTTGGCTCCCATCTTTCGGAAAGCTTTTTTGACTCCTGGGTTCTGCTTTTTCTTTCTGCAATTCGGGAAATACATAGAAAATTACGTGCGCCTTAGCGAGCGCACTGGGAATTGGGCTCGGCAGTTGGGAATTCCGGGATAAGCAGAACTTCGATGTGTTCTTTCCGTATCTGTCAATGTTCTTGGTCGCGTCGGGGAAACTCTTAGAATTTTGTACGAATATGAATAGGCGTAGATTTTTCTTTTTCTGCGCCGCCTTTTCGCGCGCGGATATGATGATTTCAATTTTGAATTAGGCTGTAATTGTTTCGGTGCCTTTTTCTCTCTTTTTGTTGACGGCGCCGCGCGTGCAAAGCTTTCTCCTCTATGCCCCCCGCATCTCTCCCTCCCGCGCTCCTTTCCCCTTCTCCCTCCTCTTTCTCTCGCCTCGTAACTGTTTTCTTTCTCTCTCTCCCTCTCCCGCCTTGCTCTTTGCGCGCCCCTTTTCCTTTCTTGATCATCTGAATCTTGGACCCGTCTTGCGCCACTTCTCGCGCCTTTTTCTCCCCTCCCCCTCTGAGTCTGGCGCCCGACGCCCGGTCGATCCATCGATAACTCCCGCTCGCTAATCAGGTGCGTGGATCAATAAGACCTTCCTATTGCGTGGCGAATCTGATTGGTTGAACCTTGAGTTCGAGGGATCAACATGGCATTCGCAGAGCATTCTTCTCAAAGTCTTCTCCTCCTGCTTCTCCTCTTACACCTCAGCTTTCCCGTCGCTTTCTCCCCCTTCTATCTCCCCTATCGCAACTATAAAACCCGCAACCGCGTCCGCAAATCTCTCGTACGTTCTCGACTCTCAAGCCAGTTTCTGGGAAGCAATGGCTAGGCAGAGTGTTTGATGCGAGTCGGAAAGTCATGTCGGGCTGACGATAGGCTGGCCGGTTGCGCGCTGGATCGCCACGACGGACTGTGGGATCTGGGCGAACCGTGTCGAGTCTACGATAGCGGGTGACGATCGCAGTGTTGGGAGTTAGCACGCGGCGACCGGGATCGTCGGTGCGGGTACGAGGACCGATGATTGGAGTTGAGTGAGTTATTGGCCCGGGGCCATATTGGAATTAATGGCGAATGCGCCTTTGTTGTTGTGGATCTTTCTCTATGAACTTCCTTCTTTTGGGTTGCGTCATCTCCTATCTAGACTCTCTCTCCCCCTCCCCCTCACCTTCCCCTTTCTCCTTTATCTTTGAATGATGATGTGTCTCGATGCTTCTCTCTCTCTCTCTCTCTCTCTCTCTCTCTCTCTCTCTCTCTCTCTCTCTCTCTCTCTCTCTCTCTCTCTCTCTCTCTCTCGCGCTCGCTCGCTCTCTCTCCCTCTCTTTCCCTCTTCTGGATGAGCATGAATCTTTATGCTTTCCTTTCGTGAAAGAACTTCTTCCGGAACTCTTCCATTAGTTTCCTGGGTAATCCTCCTACGCAAGGACCCCGTCTTCTTGTCTTGTGAACGGTGGATGCGTGTGTATTGTGCAAGCGATCCATCTTTTCCTGTGCACGGCTCATTTTTCGCATCTTCCACAGTGAATGAATGTATGGAAATGCGCGTCTCTTTGGCATTGATTAGATGATCGTCGTCGGGATTTTGTCCGAGAATGCAAGAGTGTTTAGATCTGTAGCTTTGAGTGCACTGCGCATGCCATCTGCCTTATGATGTCCGGCATCGACAGCCGAACCACGAGGCGGCCTCGAGAAACAAGGCGCCTGGGATCAACGTCGCGCTGACTCATTAAACCTGAGTCGCGGATCAGTCCCTTAGTTATATGCATGATCAAGCTATTGACGTGTCTTCTTTCTCTCTCTCTCTCTCCCTCTCGTGTTGAAGGAAATTGTTTATGAGTTGCGCGAGTGTTTTCTTTTCTTGATAACGTCGCAAGGTCTTTACAATTGATTGATATGTGGACTGACCAGTACCCTCCAATCGGGCACCAGCCTCCCGTACCTCTCGTCCCAACACGGCCTTTTCCGTATAACGAGGGAAGGACACGTGTATGTGAGTGGGACGTGCGAGAAGTTGTTGCACAGATCGGCGGACGATACTACTTCCCTCTGGCAAATCGTTGTTCAGGGTTCGTAGAGGCTGGGTTTGTCATTATCGACACGCACTTCCCACCTCACTCGATATTGTTGCCATTCAACGAGTTGATTGTCATCCCGTGGACGGCAGCAGAACCCCACTGGCCGCGCACTCTATGCACCGAATGCTAGCGTTTTGAGCGCTACGAATCCAGGGGTTTCCACTACCGTGTGCGGAGTGAAGACGAGCATAAAGAAAGAGCCACGCGGCCGAGACCATCCACGTCGGACTCGGAACTGACCATCGAACGACGACGAGATTTGATACGAAAATGAGACACGCGGAGCGTGCCAAAGCCTTTCCGTTCTAAACGACGGGCTGTAGCTCGGTGGGAGACCGACAATACTTCTTGGATTGAATTTGGATTCTTCTCTTTTCACGCTGTGTCCGCGCGCGCATTCCGCGACGCGCGAAAAAAATGGACTTGCTTCATCAGACCAACACGGGGGATTTCAGTTCCATCTGTGTCCCCACACTCAATTTCCAAAAATCCTTGGCACAACCCATCTTGCTGGTTTTTTGGGCCTCTTTCCGCACGCCTAACACTCCGAACGAAAAACAGCACAGGGCGTGAGGTTAGGACGTCACAGAAGACCGGGAGCTTCCACCTTGGCTATGGTGGAGCCTGACGGGTAGGAGGAGGAAGAAGGGGGCTAGGGAGGAGAGTGGCGAGGTACCTAGCTGGCTATGGTGGGCACCAACTTCATCACCTTCTTAGGTATTGCATCTGGAAGGCCCCAGTTGCGGTTGGGGTAGTCTGCCAAAGCCTCGGCCTTTGAGAGGGAAGGAGAAGAGTGTCCATGGCTATGGTGGACCTCATGTGGTGCTTTCAGTAGAAGAGGGATTCGAACATTGATTCTGGTCCAGCCATTCAACATTATTATTATTATTATTATTTATTGTTTGAGTAAGAGGGGAGAAGAAAAGGAGGAGGAGAGTGGTTGGCTAAGAAGAAGGGAATTATCATTGATCGTCGCTGCTGTATATCTTCTTCTTCTTTCTTTCTTCTTCTTGTTTTTTTCCCCCTCTCTCTCCTTTCAAGTTCATTCATTTCTTTTTGCAATTGGAGGACATTGTACTTTCTCATGAATGTGTACTACAAAACTGGCCAGGATCGTAATATTGGTATCAGAGTGGATTCTACTTGCTGGAGAGAGTCGACTTTGCCACCATAACCCAAACCTGAGTGGTTAGGGCTAACCACTTAGGGTTAGGGTAGGAAGTTAAGGTCAAGTGGGGCAGCGTGGTGAAAGAGGAGCTGCTCCTACCTAGCTGGGTCATGTAGGGTCTACGATAGACCCAGCCAGGTTGCTAGAGTGTGTGTGTCCAGCCAGAGTCTGTGTTGACGCTAACTTCAATTGCAATTGTCTGTTGCTGGAATCCTCGATGGTCGTCCAGGTGACGCCATCATTGTCCGCTGGTTCTCCGTGTGCTCTGCACCCCAGCTGGTTGCTGCCCGTCGAATCTGAGCGTGAGTTGACGTCATCGTCGATGGCGTGATCTCTGTGAGGCTTACTGATTCATGTCGTTTTCCCCCGCTGATTGGATGAAGAGAGGAGAGGGAGAGAGGGGGGGGGTAGTGATGTGATCGGGATCTACCTCCTAGTTGGAATGGGCCAATAGAGGCGGTACATGGAGGGGATTTCACGGGGMCGACGGGGAGGAAGTGGGGGTAGGAAGCGATTCATTCCTTCCATCGTCACCAGAAGCTCCTCATATCGGATGATCCGGTGAAAGTGGGGGAAGTGATCGCCGCTGCGAGGGAGGGAAGCAAGGTAGTCGTGATAGAAGGAGGAGAGGGTGCGAAAAAGCGCCGCTCGGAAGAACTCATAGTGGCGGCAGGCGGGGATTGTCCCCGTGGCGATGCAGTAAACCTCTACCACGTTGCATCGCTCCCATGCAGCGCTGAACAGCAGGAGATGCCAGCAGAACGTGGGGGCAGTGGATTGAAGGGAGGCGTGGGGGTGGACGGTGGCGAGTGGGCGGGTAGAATAGAAGTCGCGGAAGAGATGGGGAAGGAAGGGATGGAAAGGGAAGGTGACGGGGGTACGGATGTGCTCGAGGGTGAGGAAATCAAGGGGTCGGCGGGACAGCGTCCGAGGACGAAGGCCTATCGCCCGCATCGGTACGTGGGTGAACTGGGGGACGGGTGGGGCTGGAGGAGGAGGGGGATCGGCTCTGTCTCCGTCGCGCGGTACTTGAGGTGGCGGCTGCAGGGTCGCCATCTTCGGGCTTCGGCAGCTCCGGATCCCTGGTCGGATCGTTACCGATGCCCAGGCTAGCTTCGCTGGCGAACTCCAGCTGGCGCTTCCCGGTGGCAATTTCTTCGTGCTTTCGCGCCGCTTCCGGATCTTCCGCCTCCGTTCCCGTACGCGTCACTTCCTCCGGCAAGGCTTCCCACTTAGATCCGGTTTCTTCTTCCTCCTCTTCTCCTTCGCTCAGCTCGCCCTCGCTATGTTCACTATAGCTTCCCTCCTCCGATGTTTCCTCGTCCTCGTCTTCTTCGTCATCGTCGATCACCACTTCCTCCGCCCTTGGATAAAAGGCGTGAGGGATGATATCGTACGGCTTAAGATACTCCTGCCGCAATCGTAGCGTATCCTCTTCCCTGGGTTCCTCCAAGCACGCAGTCCACTGAAGGTACGGATCCAATGATCGCTCGAAAATGTATGGAGCAGGGTTGTCGTCACTCTGTAAATAGATGTCGGGCGAGAGATCGTCCGCCAATTGCACGATCGGTGCGATGAGCTCCTGCGCAATCAGCTGGCGGCGCCCCGGCTGTACCGATCCAAAGAGAAAGCCAAGAAGATCGCCCTCCGCGTTAGTCCTCCAAGCTTGGATGATTAGCAGTTTCGGATTTTCGATCCACGCAGGATGGCCGCTGGTCTGTGTCCACGTCACCTGTACTCTGGCCAAGCAGAAAGACAGCTGCCAGAAGGTGGGGAAGAGAGAGGGGAGACCAAAGATAAAGAGAGGAGCGAGAAGATCGGCGTGGTTCATTGGGGATGTGGGAAGGGGACGAGGGTTGGGATCGCAACTGGCCGCTCGCGCGGTGATCGGCGAATATCGCCAAGATCCGATGCAAAGATCGGGATGAGGTTATACCCTGGTCGGGCGAGGACGTGCTGCCACACGTTGGACACTTGCTCCGTCCACTCGCGCAGCAAGGTCAAGATCGCGGTATGCCAGTGCGGATTGACCGAGCTGATGTCGCCGCTGAACGTCGCAACCAAGGTGACGTGGCTCATTCTGGGGCCCGCTCGCAAATGAACTGCGGTTACCTCCGCGAATACTACTGCGTGAGGACTTCCTTCGATTCGAAACGTGGCAGAGGCACATATACCTTCGTCGCAGAAGAATCGCATCAAACGCCGAAGATCCGCATTGAGCCGAGGGTGACAAACTTGCCGAATCTCTGAGATGTGGCCACGTGGCTGCAACAGTTGTGCGTCAAGAACCCGCTCCGTGATAAAACTCATGGCGAGGTGGGAGAGGAGGACGAAGGACAAGAGGGAGGAAGAGGAGAAAGAGTTAGATCGTCGTCGTTCTTCTCGCTTTCTGAGGAAGAGGGAGGAAGATTAGAAGGAGGAAGAAGACGAAGGTAGGAGGTATGCCGGACGATGGGGACAGAGCTATGGCTGGGACTAGCCTTAGACGCGATGCGCACCGTGTTGGCGCCGGTCCGAACTCGACAACGCGAAAACAGCTAGAAAACTTGGGAGCGAGTTTCCGGTCGCGTGCACATTTACGTACCTGCACTAGGTCCCCTAATTTATATTGATGCTGGGGCCCAGCATTTCCATTCCGAGCCTCGTAGCTATGGACCTCTCTACCTTGGGCCAGTTCGGTCATCCTTTGCCTTTTTCGGGCTAGCTTCGGGACGGCCCGTTCCATTAATTCGGTGTACCTTTTGGCCTTGCCCTTGAGAGCTGCACGCGTGTCTCTACCCCTTGCTTCGGCAATTTCCGAGTTACCCCGGTAGTCGACACAGGGGATGCTATTAGTTCGAAGTTGAAAAGGGGTAAACCCCATGGACTCATGAGGGGTGGCCCGGTGGATCCCGACGATTTGATATACGATCTCGGGCCAAGGACTCGTGTCATGTGCCGCTAAGTTCCTGCGAAGGGCGGTTTTGATCATACGGTTGACATTTTCGGCCAACCCGTTTGACTGGGACACATGGGGTGCCGTATGTAGGAGCGTGACGCCCCTTCGCGCAAGCAGTTCTTCTACCTCACCCTTGAATTCGGACCTATCGTCGGTCAGAATTTCTTCCGTATCTAGATGGGTATAGAGGAACCGTTCGATGTACGTGGCTATTTTTGCGGCTTTTCGGGTCTTACAGGGATAGACTTCAATGTACTTGGAAAAATGATCTATTAATACTAGCATGATAGAATATTCACAGCAGTTTGGGTCAGGTGGCACGTCGATATCTGTCATGTCCATACTGACTCGTTGGAAAGGATGCTGTACTTTCGTTGGTACGATCGTGTTTGGTCCCCGTATAGGGGCGCGATCAGCGGCACAAACCAGACAATTAGCGACAATGTATTTGACATCATCTCGTATATTGGACCAGAACCATCGGTTCTGATCTACAGTTGCCTCCGTGACACGTATTGCGAAATGAGCGGCCTGTTCTTCGTGAGCAGATTGGATCCAATCATATCTCTGGAATGGGTGGGGAACCGTCAACCACGAGCCCGAGCCGTCAGTTTTACGTTTTTCCAAATGACCGTTGACCCATCGATAGTCCCGAGATCTCTCGGTCGCCCTACGTCTGTCGTGTTTGGTGAGGTGGCCCAGTGATAATCCCGCTAATTTTGCCAATAAAATTTTATCCGTCCAAACCTCCGCTCGTCGGTATTTTTCGTCATATTCAGGGCCGTCTCTCTGGGCGGCCTCGAATCGAACCTCCGTGGGGAGTTTGTTCGTTCTACACAGGGGATACCTCCATTCCTTGCTATTCATCCGATATCGAACGCAGGCCCCGTGCGCACGATTGACACACGTGGCACATTCTACCCAGTCGACAAACCCGGTTTCGAAAGGATGGCGGTCGACCCCATAGACCCGTGCAATGCACGTGCAAAAATAACAAAATTTATCGGGGAGGGTGGCAAAGAAAGCTGAGGACGTGAGAGGGGCAGAATTAGTAGGAGATGAAGGGGTAGCGGAGGCAAGTGGGGTAGTCATGATGACAGAGAAGGAAGGGATGCAGAGAGGGTAGAACAGACCAATGAGTCCTCGTGTCACTCACTGCTTTGATAAGATCTCAACTTGGCCGTACCCAGGTCCGATCTCTTGTTCGGGTTCGTTCCACGGAATTACCTCCTCACTCTTCGGAACCTTCTCAGGCCGGTGCAGTCGTGTCAGTCCGTCCGCATTCCCATGTCTCTCGTGCTTCCGATGACGAATGTCAAAGTCCATGCTCTGCAGCACCGTTGCCCATCGCCCGATCATGCCAGAGTAATCCTTCGATTTCTTCAGAGCCAACAGGGGCTCATGATCACTTACCAAGGTGAACTTTCGCCCGTACAGGTAAGCGCGAAAGTGGCTGATTCCCCAGAGAGCCGCGTAGCATTCCCCCGTCGGAGCGGCGTAGTTGCGCTTGCAAGCTGGCACCGATTTGGAGGCGTACTCCACCACACTCTCGAGTCCGCTTGGTCCCACCTGGGCAAGGATCGCCGAAATCGCCTCTGGCTACTAGTTAGTGATGAGGACAAAAGGCTTTTCGGGATCCGGTCTTTTAAGGACTGGAGCCGAAATGAGAGCGGCCTTGAGTTCGGGAAACGCTTGATCGCACTCCGGCGTCCAGATGAACGGTTGATCTTTGCGTAGCAGATTCGTGAGGGGTCCCGCAATCGCCGAGAAGCCCTTGATAAATCTTCAGTAGTACGAGGCCAGACCCAGAAAGGCGCGAACTTGCATGATACTTATAGGCACCGGCGCATCCCTGACAGCTACTACCTTCTGTGGCTCCGGCTCGAGTCCCTTGTCTGTCACCACGTGCCCTAGGAAGGAAATGGTGGTGAGAAAAAACTGACACTTCTCAAGCGCCACCTTGAAGTCCGCATCCCTTAACGCGTGCAGTGCCCATTCGATGTCCTGCACGTGTCCCTCGTAGGAACTCGAATACACTAACATATCATCCATATACACAATCACGCAGTAGTTGACGATGCTTTGTGCCAAACGAATCTTTCTCACAAAATTCTGAAAAGTCATGTTCATGGCTCGCTGAAAGGTTGAGGGGGCGTTGCAGATACCCATCGGACATCGAATCCACTGCCACGTGCCCTCGAAAAGTACAAACGCTGTTTTCGGACGATCTTCTTCTCGAACAAGAAGATGATGGAACCCATGGCGAACATCAGATTTGCTGAAAAATCGAGCACTCCCAATCGCATCCAACAATTCATCAATCCGGGGGAGGGGGTACACATCTTTGATCGTTATATCATTCAACTTTCGATAATCAATGCAAATGTGAATCCCTCCGGCCTCTTTAGGCACGATTACTACGGGAAAAGACCAGGGACCTATGGCGGGCTCGATCCATCCATTAACTTCGAATTCCTTAATCTGCTGAAAAGCGGCCGCTCTTTGAGCTGGCGTGTATCGGTAAGGAACGCAGCTAATGGGTGGATGGTCTCCCGTGAGAATGGCATGCTCGATCACATTAGTTAAGCCGATGTCATTATCGTGTATGCTCAATACTTCTGCGTAACCGTTTAGCACACAGATTAACGACTTTCGAAGTTCTGCGGGAACGTGACTCGGTAGGGTAATTGTTGATTCCCCAAAAATCTTAAGGGGCATATCGACCCAATCAATCGGCCGTTTCCGTCGATCATAGACACTAGAGAAAACGGAACTACTGGTGCGAACAGAGAAGAATGTTGCTATCATCTGGGACTCAGCGGGGCTGATCATCTCCGTTTCTTTAGTTTCAACATCAGTCTCTTAACCAACCGAGGTCGGTTCCACAGTTAGCCCCGTTAGATCCGTCATTTCATGCATTAGATCAGATACATCACTTACCGGTGCTTCCGCCTCTTGTTTAATCAAAGCGATGGTGACTCCTGTCGTTGGTAACGTTCTGGCGAAAAAACAGAAACATCCAGATATTGTTCCGTTTGCTGATAACGCGTTCGTAAGGAGAGAGCTCCTTCATACAAGGTGCGAGGGGGTTCTGAATCATCGGCCAGGTCAGATACTTGTAATATAGGTTCCCCAAGTAGGACCGAAGGACTAACTTGAGTTACCGGAGGCGCAAGCGCGCTGTCTCTTGAATCCACGTGGAAGCTTCGAGCAGGGTCGGGGCACACTTGGAATTCTTCGRGAATTTCGTGTTCGAACAGTTCAACCATGTGCTTCCATTCGTCTTCGCTTGGCAGCTCTTCTTTGTATTCCTGTTCCCTTATCCCACTATCAATATCCGAGGAAGAACACTCCTTGGGATTGATGTATCTAATCATCCCTATTTAGGCCGAGTTAGGGGTTCGTTTTATCGTCCGAGTGAAAATTCGCAAGGGGACAGTTTGAGGCTTTCCCCCAGTTTGAGTGAGCACCGGTTGTTTCGAATCGAAATGCAATCGTGCGCCCACTACCATCGCCCAAGGCAATCCTAATAGTACAAAATAGGAGCGCACATCTATCACGAGCGCGTTGACGAGGACGTGTACTCGTCCAACCTTTACAGCCACGTTTTCAATAATGCCTACGATGTTCATTGCTTCCTCGTCAGTGGAGACATAATTGTCTTTGCCAGATTGAGGAAGAATGGATCTGAGTCGTCCCGTCTTTCTGACAGTGTCTAATGATATGGCTACTGCAAAAGACCCTGTGTCGATAAAGGCGTTAAACGACTTGCCCCAAATCTCGCAGTCACACTCCGCGCTTTTCCATAGCACCGGTCGAGCTCGTACGAAGTGATCTTTCGATACTAAAGAGATCGCTGCTATCCGTGCGGCCTCAGGTTCGCCGACTTCGGGTTCGGGTTGTGCCACTTCGTCGTTTCCTTCCTTCTTCTTTAACATTCGTTGTATGCGCTGATAGGTGAAGCGCTTTTGATTTTTCTGGCAATGCTGTAAAAGCTTATCATTCGCCGCTTCAAATATGGTGAGCAGATGTCCCACCGGGATCGGAACACGAATATCCAGTTGTTTGAGTCCTCGTAGCACGTCAATCTCTCCTGTTCGGAACTGCAGACCAGGATTGGATTCGCGATCGACCCATTCGAGATCATAAGGGGCCGATCGGATTGCTCCGACCATGCCTGCAAGATGAAGATATTCGAGTGGATCGACCACGTCCGCAGTGTCAGAGGGAGAAGCTCCTGATGTCGACGCTATTGTCGTCGAGGGGGAAGGCTGCTCTAGGGTATATGCCACGAGCTCTCCTCCCTGGGCTGTATCCATCAAAGCAGCCACTCGTCCTTGATTCAGGGCCACGGGGGCCGCCGCAGGTGGGGGCTGACTACGTTTTGGCTGCGGGCAGTCTCGGGCGAAATGTCCGGGTTGTTCGCAGTTAAAACACTCGATCTTTCTGGTTGGATTGGCTACGTGAGGGAACTAGGGTGCGTACCCAGGAGCAGGCGGGGCAGGTAAGAGCGGAAATGATGCGGAGGCCGGCCGAGCAGAGGCCGGGTTAGGCTTGATTAGCCTACTCATTATCTGTTCCATCCGTTCTATGTGAGCGGCTTGCATTTGGATCAAGTTGCTCATCCATTCGGACTGCTTGGTAGTGGCTGTATGGATCATCTGGGCAAGATGTAAGTTGGTTATGGCCGGCGAGGAGGGTTCGGGTGAGATTCCGCTTTTAACGACTGCGATCAATTGATTCACCGGGGGAGAGGAAGAAGAAGCAAGCCAGGTATCGGAAACGATCCCGCCGGGAAGGTCATGGTCGGGGCGGGGATACCGTTCGACCACCTGCGACCATGATCGCCTTTTAGCCGTTACATCCCGTATGGTATCTGTAAAGTCTTCGTCTCCCTGGCTAATATACTTTTTTGTATCAGCCACGTCCAGTTCCAATGCTTTAGTGATGATAGCCGATAACTGGTGTGTTTTCGGCGGGACCTTTTTCTGCAGTTTGCCTTTCAATTTAGGACTTCGTAGATGGTCGATGAACAAATCTCAAGCGGATTTCTTGTCTCGCCCGGATTTGTCCAGCGTGGTTTGAAATCGTTCGACGAAATCGGGTAACAATTCTCCTGGTCCTTGTGGCCGATTTTTTAGCACGTACCAGGCGACATCTTCATTGACCGTATCGAATCGAGCCAAGAAGGCTTGCTTGAAAGTATCCCAATCTACCCACGTGTGTTTTCTAAACCAGTCATGCGACGTATTGCGGAGTAGCAATGTCAGAACGTGTGGAAGATCGGCTGTGCTGTAGTTTTGAGCTTCTATAGCTTCCAGCCAAGCCTCGGGATGGGTGTGATTAGGGAAGAAAGGGAAGGGGGCGAGGATACTAACGATCACCCTACTACCGTCCACCATTTGTACTGAGACCAGGTCACTAGGCGATCCCGACGAGCTTGTTGAGGGTCTCTCCTACCTCTCGCCAGTTTGACTTACTATCATCAGAACCGACATGTTTCAGCTCCGATACCAACCTCACGCCCTGTGTTGTCTTTCGTTCGGAGTGTTAGGCGTGCGGAAAGAGGCCCAGAAAAACAGCAAGATGGGGTGTGCCAAGGATTTTTGGAAATTGAGTGTGGGGACACAGATGGAACTGAAATCCCCTATGTTGGTCCGATGAAGCAAGTCGATTTTTTTCGCGCGTCGCAGAATGTGCGCGCGGGCACGGCGTGAAAAGAGAAGAATCCAAATTCAATCCAAAAAGTATTGTCAGGTTTCCCACCGAGCTACAGCCCGTCGTTTAGAACGGAAAGGCTTTGGCACGCTCCGCGTGTCTCGTTTTCGTATCAAATCTCGTCGTCGTTCAATGCTAAGTTCCGAGTCCGACGTGGATGGTCTCAGCCGCGTGGCTCTTTTTTTATGCTCGTCTTCACTCCGCACACGGTAGTGGAAACACCTGGATTCGTAGCGCTCAAAACGCTGGCATTCGGTGCATAGAGTGCGCGGCCAGTGGGGTTCTACTACCGTCCATGGGATGACGATCAACTCATTGAATGACAACAATATCGAGTAAGGTGGAAAGTGTGTGTCGATAATGACAAACCCAGCCTCTACGAACCTTGAACAACGATTTGCCGAGGGAAGTAGTATCGTCCGCCGATCTGTGCAACAACTTCTCGCACGTCCCACTCACATACACGTGTCCTTCCCTCGTTATACGGAAAAGGCCGTGTTGGGACGGGAGGTACGGGAGGCTGGTGCCCTATCGGAGGGTACTAGTCAGTCCACATATGAATCAATTGTAAAGACCTTGCGATGTCATCAAGAAAAGAAAACACTCGTGCAACTCATAAACAATTTCCTTCAACACGAGAGGGAGAGAGAGATAGAGAAAGAAGACACGTCAACAGCTTGATCATGCATATAACTAAGGGACCGATCCGCGGCTCAGGTTTAATGAGCCAGCGCGACGTTGATCCCAAGCGCCTTGTTTCTCGAGGCCGCCTCGTGGTTCGGCTGTTGGTGCCGGACATCATAAGGCAGATGGCATACGCAGTGCACTCAAAGCTACAGATCTAAACACTCTTGCATTCTCGGACAAAATCCCGACAACGATCATCTAATCAATGCCAAAGAGACGCGCATTTCCATACATTCATTCACTGTGGAAGATGCAAAAAATGAGCCGTGCACAGGAAAAGATGGATCGCTTGCACAGTACACACGCATCCACTGTTCACAAGACAAGAAGACGGAGTCCTTGCGCAGGAGGATTACCCAGGAAACTAATGGAAGAGTCCGGAAGAAGTTCTTTCACGCAAGGAAAGCATACAGATTCATGCTCATCCAGAAAAGGGAAAGAGAGAGACAGAGAGAGAGAGAGAGAGAGAGAGAGAGAGAGAGAGAGAGAGAGAGAGAGAGAGAGAGAAGCATCGAGACACATCATCATTCAAAGATAGAGGAGAAAGGGGAAGGTGAGGGGGGGAGGGGAGAGAGAGTCTAGATAGGAGATGACGCAACCCAAAAGAAGGAAGTTCATAGAGAAAGATCCGCAACAACAAAGGCGCATTCGCCGTTAATTCCAATATGGCCCCGGGCCAATAACTCACTCAACTCCAATCATCGATCCTCGTACCCGCACCGACGATCCCGACCGCCGCGTGCTAACTCCCACCACTGCGATCGTCACCCGGCTGTCGTAGACTCAACACGGTTCGCCCAGATCCCACAGTCCGTCGTGGTGATCCAGTGCGCAACCGGCCAGCCTATCGTCATCCCGACAGGACTTTCCGACTCGCATCAAACACTCTGCCTAGCCACTGCTTCCCGGAAGCTGGCTTGAGAGTCGAGAACGTACGAGAGATTTGCGGACGCGCTTGCGGGTTTTATAGTTGCGACAGGGGGGATAGAAGGGGGAGAAAGCGACGGGAAAGCTGAGGTGTAAGAGGAGAAGCAGGAGGAGAAGACTTTGAGAAGAATGCTCTACGAATGCCATGTTGATCCCTCGAACTCAAGGTTCAACCAATCAGATTCGCCGCGCAATAGGAAGGTTTTATTGATCCACGCACCTGATTGGCGAGCGGGAGTTATCGATGGATCGACCAGGCTTCGGGCGCCAGACTCAGAGGGGGAGGGGAGAAAAAGGCGCGAGAAGTGGCTCAAGACGGGTCCAAGATTCAGATGATCAAGAAAGGAAAAGGGGCGCGCAAAGAGCAAGGCGGGAGAGGGAGAGAGAGAAAGAAAACAGTTACGAGGCGAGAGAAAGAGGAGGGAGAAGGGGAAAGGAGCGCGGGAGGGAGAGATGCGGGGGGCACAGAGGAGAAAGCTTTGCACGCGCGGCGCCGTCAACAAAAAGAGAGAAAAAGGCACCGAAACAGTTACAGCCTAATTCAAAATTGAAATCACCATATCCGCACGCGAAAAGGCAGCGCAGAAAAAGAAAAATCTATGCCTATTCATATTCGTACAAAATTCCGAGAGTTTTCCCCGACGCGACCAAGAACATTGACAGATACGGAAAGAACACGTCGAAGTTCCGCCTATCCCGGAATTCCCAACTGCCGAGCCCAATTCCCAGTGCGCTCGCTAAGGCGCACGTAATTTCCTATGTATTTCCCGAATTGCAGAAAGAAAAAGCAGAACCCGGGAGTCGAAAAAGCTTTCCGAAAGATGGGAGCCAAGAACGCGATACCCAAAATCAAGAAAACGAAACGGGGTTCTTATGGGGTTGGTATGATACAAGCAAAAAGGGGTACGGAAGATAGCACGGGTTCGGGAAGTGGTTCGTCACACTCCTTCCTCCTAGCAGCACTGTAATGCCCAGCGCTCCTCCCACCAGCGCTCTGAAGTCCAGTGCTTGCTACAGCAGTTCATCGCCCAAGCTTGCATAAGGAGGAACACTTCGCTCCTCCTGGAGATATAGGGGCCTACTTGCCTCTTCGGCGGTGACTTCCTAGGCCGCGCGGCCTCCAATCAACCGGTACCTCCTCCCTAAGGCTTTTGGAGGGAAACATTATTGCAGGCTCTGATGTTGCCCATACAGGCCTTAGACTCAGACTTGT